ACATGGTAGAATTTGCGGTGTATAAGTTAGGATGTACAATGTACAATGTTGCAATACTAAATGTTTTGCCCATAATAAGAAAAGTCAAACAAAGAATGGAAAATGTTATCCAAAATCCAAAAAGTACAATGTCGAATTGAAAGTTCGATTTTTGGCGGGGATGGTACACCATAGAAGCGAGCATCCAAACAACCGCGATCGGCTTGAAATCACATACCGGGTGACTAAGATGACAAACCTTAAACCGATTTTTCTCTTCAAAAATCGTTAAAACCATTCATTTCATTACATACATTCATTTTTAATTAATTTCTTGTCAAGCTTAGGTTCTTATCATTGAAACTTTTTATTTGGAATAATTATAAAGCGTTCTTATTGTTTCAGGGTCAATATTGAAGTCTAAAGGCTTTTAAAGGTTATGATAAATTGATAAACTTTGCATTGCAAATTTAATATTATTTAATAGTTTAGTTTCTATTATACTTATATTTTCCCTGATATTTCCACTCGCTCAAACAGGAAAGTTTTAATTATTGAAAATGCACATGTAGAAAGTAACAGCACACAAAGTAATGCATAATAGTGAGCCGGGGTCGATGACAAGTTTCAGATTCTGACAATTCCCTCGGTATTCTTCCGATAAAATTTCCAACTGAATCAATAAGAAATCAATAAAATAAAACAATAACAAAATTACGATTTCATTTCTTATCTAAAGTTGTGCCGTGTTTTCATGTGAAAGGATGGTAGCGTTACGCGGGTGATTCCCGCCATCTTGACAAAATATGCTTGATAGGTGACATAGTACCATGCACAACATTCAGAATAACTCGGAAACGGTAAGAGGTTCACCGTGGTTCACCTCGATATTTTTGATTATCAGGAATTAAAGTTTTAGAATATTTATAAATACAGACATGTTATCTATCGTAAAACCAGATGACAAGCGATAAAGATGCACCATATTTCAACCTTCAGTGTCATCTTAATGTTATAAATTTACATAGAAATATGTCTTATCTGGAAACGAGACTTGGTGTACAGGAATTACTGCTATTAATCCATGCGACAGTTAAAAAATATGAGGTTATGATAAGTAATATGARGGGAAATAAATGATTCTTTACGACGACCACGAAATTCTTGTGATATTTGTTGTTGCCTGTGATCATGATTGTGATTGGTCGATTAGGTCACGTGCCACTTGATCACCCTCCTCTGTGATTTCTCGTTACACTGCACCAAGACTCCTACGTTCTTCTGCTTTTCTTCTTGAACACAAAAAGTACCAATTGAAATCTTATGGTTACCGTTCTTTCTCCATATCTGCACCTGAACTCTGGAATTCCCTTGCATCTTCAATTAGGAACTCTTCAAAGCTTGTCATTATTCAAGACTTCTTTGAAAACTTATTTGTTTAAATCAGCTTTTAATGTGTGACCTTTAATACTTTTCTGATTATCGTAATCATCATTTTTGTATTATTTTGTATTTCATCTTTCACAGCGCCTAGAGCCCTGGATAAGTGCTTTACAAATTGTAATTATAATAATAATAATMATCATCATTATTATTCCAAACACTAGTCAGGAAGACTTGTATGGTAAGGCTAATGTTATGTAAAATGACTTTTTCCCTTCATTTCAAATCATTATTTTTGCTTTTGAAGTGCCATAGTCATCGTCTTAGCTAATGAATCTTTTTTTTTTTATTTTATTTGAAGGTAGCGAAGATCTGTCTGACATGATCGATCCGGAGGATGGTGAAACATTCGAAGGTTGGTAACGAACTTTTTTACCTTTTAAAATTAACATTTGTTAACGTTTGTTAGGGCTGGAAGTATATTTGATTTTCAGTAAAAGTGATGGACAAAAATATTGTGACACAAAATATACGTACGAACCATTTTATTTATTTCTATTATCTCTCTTCCAGATACCCCTGAAAAAGTGCGGCTTGAAAATATGGGACTTTTTGATAGTGAAATCTCAGATAACAATTATTTGTGATTAGATATTAACAGTTTTAGTAATCAAATTAGAAAGCAAGAGTCAAATCTTGAGAAATAAGGTTGTGAATTTGCTTGCTTTTTTTTGGAATACATTCTTAAGAGGGGCTGCCTGCTACATTTACATTTTCTCTTGATGCAGATGAATTGGTTGGCACCTCTCTGATCTTCACATCGTCCCAAAGAAAACTTCAAATAAACTCGGTAGGTCATAGTATTTCTTAAATTTTGAAATTATTTAAATAATTTAATTTATGTTATTTTATCTSTCTAATGCAGTTCAAGTTGCTGCCACTTTGAATCTCTCTCCAATCCAAAGTTCTTCCAACAGTAAGTTAAGCCATAAACAGTATCTTATATTTGACATGTAAAATTTTATGTAGCATGTTGTGCTGGTGTGCTAATGAGTGTTCTTTTGTTTTGCAGATCCTGATGAAGCTGTAGAAGAAAATACTCCTGTTGGTAAGTGTTAGATCTGAAAAGCCGATAATGAGTTCTTACAAATGTAAGTTATTCGTTTCCATATATTTCTTATCGTTTTGCAGTTTAATGTTTCGTAGTTTTTCTTATTTGTTAAAATCATATTTACTAAGTTATTTATCTATTTATCTAGTCTTTACCTTACGCTATGTGTATGAGTTTGGAATAAAAATCAAGTATGGGACTCGTAGTGCAAACAGTAAGTATTTTTTGTAACAAAAAAATAAATAAAAAATACATGTAAAACAAGGTGTCATCTTCTTCTGTTTTGTCCTAATAGTGATATATATTTCTTTTCACATTTTAATGGGAATTGCAGATTTACAAGTGATGCACACAACTGAAACACCTTGTCTACATAGCCTCTTAAGTATGGGGGGATAAAACTCAGAATTTTAAAATCCTTCAGGCGAGCATTAGCTCTCTCTACATGAATTCGGCACTTCACAATTGACTTTGTGGCCTTAATTTCACTTTCATTAAATTTTCCATGTTCTAAGAAAGGTGGAATGTTGACTGAAACACCATTTGGTACGATTTCCTAGATCAAAAACCCTTTATCAGCTAAGATCAAATCCCTGGTGGCCAAATGGTCTAGTAAACCTGACTGCTGAACTATTTCTTTATCAAAAACAGAGCCTGGGAACAGTTGACTTACAAATGTTATTACAGGCATTAGGTGCTACCCCAACCAAAACTTTAAAAGAATTCATGCCGCTATAGCTCGAATATGTGACACTTTGCTGACTCATTAGTCCAGGAGTGGCGATTTCGATATCAGTGCAATCAATTACAATCCTACAGCTGGTAAACTGTGAAAATGATGATGGTGAACATAACTTATTCTTATCACGTGAAGGAATGGAGGTCATGATATCTTTAAAAAAAGGTCATGTAGTAAATCAATAGAGGTCAAGACAACATTGAAATGGTAGCAACACTACATGAAAATAGCTCAGCTAAGTGAAGATTAGTATAATTTTGTCTTAACTTCATAAGGGTTAGAAATATTTGGTCCTCAAATGAAATAGCATCCACCCACCAGCCTGAATAATAATGTACGGAGTCTTTAAAAGAAGCTGCATAATCTCAATACGTCAGCACTAATTTTGGTAACAGCATAGTGAGTTCTTTGGTAATAACTAATTTCTTGTCACGTGGCAAGTTCACGCTTTAAAACATCTACTTCTGTCGCAAGAATTACTTGCTCTGTACTGGGTCTAGGTAAATTTTCTTTCCTCTCATCCTCTGCTGCTAAAAAGGACTGCACAATGGTTTGAACATTAAATGAGTCCTCCTTCAATGCAGGTTTCTTTTTGGTTTTTGGAGGTTTGTTGTTTCCAGCGGGAAAAATCTTGTCGCCATTCCTTTTAAAAATCTCCAGACCAGATGACTTCTTGCCCTCCCTGAAGTGACAACTGCAAACGCGAGAATGTTCACCTGGCTCTCTATCTTGTATTCTAATGAAACGGAAATCAAATAAGAATAAGCTTAAAGTGAACATCAGTAATATATGAAAATCGTAAGGTTTAGTTTTAATAAAACGCTAACATTTATTTATAAGCTTAAACTTAGCATTGCAGCCGGCAATCAATTATTCAACAGGTAAGCTTATAGTCCTCCGCCAGGCATACTGATCATAGAACGTTTATCGGTCTTCATTAACTCACATTTGTATGATATATATATACCTTATTAAGCGAGTCCGGCAATTAAATTCTTCTTTCTTCTTCATCTTGTTTGGAAAACCGAAGAATCTGCAAGTGTGTGAATCGGAGTGATGATCACAATCAGGTACGAAGCAATTCACCATCTTGCCCTCTTCACCTTTGATCTTAAGGTTCTTTTAGCCTTAAGTCTAGCAATTATGATCCAAAAACATCTAGATTGTGCATATTGCTTTTAAGTATTTACGTTTTTTCGGGATTTAAGTATTATTAGAAGCTTAATTCTACGTTAAACAAACCAAAACAATGTGGTCACGCAATGGCGTCTTGCAAGTACGCGTTTGTTTAGAACAGAAACTTTTGATGTCATGGCAACATGACGTCACACTTGAGTACTCTATTGTTTCTGCAGTTGAACAAATGTCCTGCCACCATCAGTGACAAGGATGATGGTTTTCATCTCGGTTCGAAAGAACACAACCACTCGAACCAACTCCAAATGTTGCTGTCGCCATCAGAGAGATTAAGAAAAGAGCCATAGATAGTGTTTTCAAGCCAGCTGCTGCAATTGTTGAAGAGGCATTTGATATGCATTCAATAGCATTTGCAAATGTAGACTGTAGATTTAATTTATATTTTTATGATTTTTGCAGGTGCTCCTGGAAGAAAGAAATGGTAATCCATGCCCAAGTTTACAAAAAATGGAATACCTGGCAAGGGCAGCAAATAAAGCCCGCCAAAGGCATCTTCCAAAAGACCCAGTCAACATGAACTTCTCCTTGGAAGAGCAATTTTTGCCAAGAGTTTTTCCAAGGAGAGGTGAAAGTTGGAAACAACAGGCACCTTCTCTTTGCCACAGCAGCTCAGGTTAAGATCCTGTCAACAGCAACGAAATGGTACGTTGATGGGACGTTCAATCTCTGCCGCCATCCCTTGTTCCAACTATTCAGCATCATTGCCTTTGTGAAGAAGGACGAGTATGCCAAGCAAGTGCCACTCATATTTGTCCTTATGTCCAGAACACAAATAAGGGATTACAAAAAGGTATATGTCAATTTGAAAGTACTGGAATAACATCAAGTAATCATGATGTGCATACAAATATATTATTAACATTACAATGATTATTATTCTTTTTAGGTCATGAAGAAAGTTGCAGAACTAGTCCCCAATGCTGCAGTACGAGCTATCACAGACGATTTCGAAAAAGCTACATGGAAAGCTGTAAGGGCAGTTTACCCGGGCGTAAAGCTGCCTTGATGTGTATTCCATTAGACTCAGGGTTTGGATGGGACTGGGGGGAAAGGTAAGTTTAGAATTCAAAGGAAATGTGATATGTAATAAAGTGATATAATGCTATACTACATGAGTTTGATTGTCAACTTACATTTTCACCTTTTTTTTTTATAAAGGTTCGGGCACTTGGACTCCAAATGGCATACCAACATGATAATGGTAAGTTTATTCGCAAGTGCGTGGCATTACCCTTCCTCCCTGCGCTGAAATAATACCATAGTTTGCCAAACTTCAAGATCAAGCAAGTACCCAACAACTGATAGAGTTTGTCAACTATATTGACAACACATGGATAAAAAGTACAACTGACCCCAATAACATGGTCTGTGTTTAATATGTCAGTAAGAATGAATAATGATGTAGAAGGTTGGCATAATGCCTTAAATCTCCGTGCCTTCGGCAAATGCCAATTGTCCTTCTACGTCCTTATTCAGCTCTTGCACCAAGAGGCAAGCCTGGTCCAGTTACAAGTTCCCCTGGTATCGGAGAGTATTGCAGAGCAAGGTATGCATAATCCTGTTTTCTGTCATGGGTGCTTTCCTATGACACTTTTTAATCATATCGTTTCTTGATCCTATCCTAGATTTTCAATAAAGGGGAACAGTATCAGCAAAAATTAAAATCAGCCACCTAACTGTTGAAAACCTGCTCCAGAATAAATGGTCCAGTCGCCAGGAGGGAATAAGTGAAGACATTAGAAGAAGGAAGACCTAAAGACTAATTCAAGATCCAAAATAGAAAACAGCAACACCAAGAAAACCAACCAACCAACAGAAAAAAAGGCTCTTTTAAGAGTCAGAACATGAATAAAATCAGTGCCCTACAAGTCATGCTTTAATGGGGTAGTCTTCGAAATTATTTCGAAAGACAGCACTCCGGCCTATGTGAGTTCACCATAAACCGAGTTCGATTTTTCGAATTGTCAGTGAATTAAGCTTGTTGATTACACAAAAACAATATGGCGTCGTTTGTCAATCGACGTTTCCCGTAGCTCGAACCTTGGCAAATCAGAAGCAATAAATATGTCCTAAATATTCGATTTTTCGATGAAGAAGGATATTGTAATGTTTTCAACAAACTACTCTACGGAGACTAAAACCTTATTGATAGCGAAAAGACTCTATGAAACACTGTAAACTGAGCTTGATTGTTCCACTCAATCGTTAAGTTTTTGGCGTTAACATTCAGATGATGACCTCAAATGTATTCCAGATAAAGGCAATAGATCATTTCATCTTAGTTTTTTAGTGTAATAATAAATAATAAAGTCAAATAGTCTAATGGATTTCAAGAAAAGAAAGCATCAGTAAACGACTAGGAAGCTTGTTGATTGCATGAAAACAATATGGTGTCGCTTGTCGATCAATGTTTCGTGTATAAGGTATTTTGGTTTTTTTTCTCGAACTTTGACAAGTAAAAAATGATAAAGAATGATAAAGCTACCCAAAACACACATTTCATAGATTAGAGTATGGGGAAATAAAGTCATCCGAGTCATAAGTTGGTAGAAACGGCTCTAAATAAGCTTTAAATCATATAAAAATGTCTTTCAAGAGACTATGTTTCTTTTTAACAAGTCTCATCGAAGTTTTGTTTTGGTAATTTCCAATGGTAGCGAAAGGACTTCATGATGGTAGCAAAAAGGCTCTGGGTGGTATCGAATCGATGGTAGCGAAAGTGCATGGAAGCAAAACGACCGGTATTCCCTAGAGAGACACCTAAACAGACCAAGGAATGAACACCAAAGGGAACACAACATGCAGTAACAACACCCGTGACAAAGATGAGTCAGATGAAGAATTGGTTGTCACAATAATTAATGAAAACAACGAAGAGAATCAAAAAGCTGATCTACCACAAGAACATCCCCAGAACTCAGAAACAAGTACAGACAGCCAGTGACAGCTATAACAAGTTCAATTAGAGTTTTTATGTTGTATAGCGTCTGTGTTTAGGAATTCTAAGACTACTTTTTGTCGAGGACGACAATGTTTAGCAGGGGAGTGTGTGACCAGGTTCACATACAAACCAATTATGAAATATGATTTTACATTACTATTAGCTAAAATATGTTTGAAAATGTTACATTTGGGAAGAATTCACCTCCCTCTCATAAGAATGTCATAAGGAAATGCATAAGAGACATTACATGAAGATAATAGAATGTGATGTCTTCCTTCTCAAGGAAGCAAGTTATCGTAACAACTGGCTGATGGGAGTAGTTGTCAAGCGGTTATAAGCAAAGACGGTCTGGTGAGGAAGGCCAACATCACCATTGTAAGAGGAGGGAAGAAAACGACGATGTATCATCCTATCAAGAAACTGGTGCTAATACTACCAGTCGAAGAACAAGACTAGTGACATTACTAGTTTCATATGAACACTAAAGAACTTTAGTAATCTTAGTTTACATGCATATATACTCATATAATACCATAATTATAATCTTAGCAAGTGTCAGTGATACTTGGGCGAGGAGTGTGATGTTAATTGTTAATTAGGAAATTGTAACCAAGTCCTATTTTTATCATAAAGAAACCATTGATAGATTGATTGATTGTTATGTGATACTTTAACATTCCCTAGCATGTTAGCTAAGTTTGTAGTTCATTCAAGAGTTTTCATTAGGAGTCACTGTTAGTCAGTATTTCAAGTGAAGACTAAGTTAACAGAGTCCTTCTTAAGAAAATACAAGCCTATAAGGAAGATCAAATGTAAGTTAAGTTTATCTCATTTATTCTATTGCTATTTCGTTTAGTTTGTAATAATCATTAGTTCCTTAGTCATAATGGTTTTAATTATGTGTTATAGTTTCATCGAATTGTATGAGAGAAGGAGTGGAATGTTCAACCTTGATTAAACGTCAATTAACGAACGAAAAGTCTCCGAGTGACGTGACACCAATAAATAAAGACAAATGAAATAGCATTTTTAAGTAATATATACAGTATGAGTGGCCGTGTTGTATCACATATACAACCACGAGGCGTAGCCGAGTGATTGTATGTCTGATACAACACGGACACGAATACTGTATATGACTTTTCAAACGTCTAGGTTAGTTCCTTTGTGTTTCACTAAAATTTTCAAAATTAAAGTGAATTTGGCCAAGAAAATCCAACTTAAAGTTTATGCAAATGAACACAGTTTTGTATCAGATTTACAACACTCTTCACGGTCGTGATTTCTGTTGTGTTTTCCTCATGAATTATTAATGAGTTTGATAAACCAATTTAATCACTTAGTTCACAGTTTAAGGTTGGCTGGACCCCTTCACGCTTGACCGCTACCTTCCATGTTTGGAACGCTTGTGCATAAATGTGTTTTATGCGATTGCAAACCTTTGTTGCACATAAGTTACATAAAGATTGAATTAATGTTTGATGCAGTTTTTAATGAAATCGGACATCATAACATGTGATTATGATGAAATATTTGTTTTCGTTTAGAGAGCAATTTTAGCCTTGCAGAGCGTTCAACACTGAAATGCTTCGTACCACATAATTATATACTGGATGCCTCCATTTGTAGGGATTTTTGAAAAAATCTATCTAGCTAATTATGAGATTTTTGAGATTATTTAAATATAGTACATAATCTGCTTTAAAACTAAACAATGGACTTGATACGCCCGAAATTAATATTTCACAGTTATATATTCACAAACGTCATTGCTCATTTAGTTTTACTCTGTATCTAGTTTTAAAAGGAAYATTTTGAAGGTAATCGACTTATGCGATTTTGTGAAAACGTATAATGCATAAGACGGGGTAAACAATTGATGCGCACTTTTCATTGCAGTTTTCTAGTCAATCTTACTAGATCTTACATTATTCTAATATTCGCTGATAATTTCTCTCAAAACTACGTCAGGATACAAATTAGAACTTAAACTAATATTACACAAAATTGCAAGACTATTGAACTCATTTAAAGCGGACTAAAGCGAACGGGAGATACAGATAACATTGATAGTTTCCCAACAATTTGATGCTCTGGGAATTCTATTGTTTGCTAATGATCATATCATTGCAATCGGATATAACATGTTTATGCACGAGCGTTCCAAACGTGGAAGGTAGCGGTCAAGCGTGAGGGGGTCCAGCCACCTTAAATAAAGTGTTTCCTGTGAAAACTTCAGGCAACAAATCGATTGTAAGTGCCGTGACCCTTGAAGGTCAAGATAGTAGTAGTAACGCATAACTTTTTGTTAGCCAAAAAGGCTTATACAAATGATTCCTGAAATAAAGCACTCAGCCTGACTTTTAAATAAAAAATAAAATCCAGAATTTGTTTTTCAGATAGTCTGTCGAAGTTGAACTCATCTTTCATAATTAATTCGATGGACAGTATTGAAAAGCTTAAATTGGCACATAAGTATTTCTACCAGGTACTGGGGCAAATGTATGTTTTCAATATTGAGTGGGTGGACTTTGCAGTTTGGTTTGGGGGRATGAAATATTTATTGAAAGGGTTTACTTTAATGAAAAGTGGTGGTATCAGGAAGTGCTACCAAGGTTAAATTATTTTTATAAGGATGCTTTTCTTCCTGAGGTATTGACAAGGAGAATTGAGCGTGATATTCCACTTTACAAATTCAAGAGAAGGGCTTCAAGCAAGCATCAAAGTTAGTAAAGCCTGCAAGACAACTATGAGTAAATATAGATTGCTAAGTTTTATACAGTGCCCCAGTATTAAAAAAATGTGATCACAGCGTGATCACTCTTCACGCCCGTGATCAGGCCTGTCATCATCCCTAAAAGCGTTACCTTGTTATCACTCCTGTGATCACAGCTGTGATCACGGCATGAAATGTGATCACGCCCATGATCATGAACTCGTATGTGATCATATTCGAGGGTCGAGAGTAAGAAGATAAGAAATTACGATCCGGTCACTCCATGAAGTGYGACTTGTCATAAAGATAATTTATTTGCTTCTTTTATTCAATAAACGTAAATGATTAATTATATTCAATAACTGATTAGATGTTAATAAAAAAATCACTTTCTGTATGGTTATGAGATTGTATATTATGATTAATAAAAAAATAAATACATAATATAAAAAATTATAAATAAGAAATAATAAAATACAAATATAAATAATATTGAGGCAAATAATTGTTTTAGTATTTTTATACAACTGAATTTAATAAATAACGGAGAAAAAGATTTTTAACTGCAATTTTATTTACGTCTGAAACTGCCGTGAAAGCTATATTTACTTGTAGGTGAATATAGCAGCATAAGATGTAAATTTCGACCAATGAGCGTGCCGGATTTATTACATTCACTTGTATAAAATATATAAAAAAATTATTATTTTCTATATGGTTGTGAGATTGTATGTGCGGCATAATCATATTGAAAAACAAAAGCCTACTTAGTTATGTTCAATAATATTTGGAAACTTAGAAACTATCCAATAGTCAGACGAAAAGTCAATGAACACACATTTCCTAACTATTTGTTGAGTGTGAATTAGGATAACTTTACCAAGACGTGGCTGAACACAAATTCCAATTCTGGATCTCGAAAAAGTTCTTTGAGTCGCTCCTCAAGCTTCAAGTCTAAAAATGCGCTAAGAGGGTGGCCTTGACACTCCAGTTTTGGACATTGTTTGTCAAATACTTGACTTAAACAGTGAGAGCAGTATGAAACTCTAACAGGGTCCTTTATACCAAAGGGATTCTTTAAGAAAGAGCTTCATTTTGTAGACTGATTTGAATATTCCTTTGAACTGTTTTCCAGTAAACACTGACAAAAGTCGAATTAAATCTGCCCATGCAGCTTTGCTCAAGTTGTGTCTTAGTACAAATGAAACTACCAGAACGYATGCAAGAAGTCGTGAAATGACGCCACCTTCAGTTAGAGTAACWTGCTGATCATCTTCTTCTTCCACATCGCCAGTGTACTCGCYGTMCTCAAGCTCATTATTGGATGAATCCTCAGTTGAACTTTCTGAAGTAGAACTGTCAGTAGTCTCCGAGTCACTTATATCAGTCACATCACTCGGTAACTTTTCTTCTTCCCCGGCAAATGATTCAATATCAGGAAGAATGATGCTTGCCATATTCTCATGCTCGTAACCTGAAGATGAGGCAGTTACGTTTATTGTTTTGGAAATACTTTCATTTCGCAAGCTTTGTTTTGCATTAAGATAATGTCTCAGCTGTCGCGAAGGGTTGAGTTGGTCTGCGTAAGGTTTATAGCTTCTTTTTTCTCTGTTTTGAGTTTTACGTTGATAATAGAGCGCCTGTCTTGATTTAGGACGATCAGTTTTCTTTGAGAATGTAACTGAGGCCACTTTGACGTCTTTAGCTTGATGAGCAAATTTTTGTGTACCTCCAAATCTGAATCTGAACTACTTTCACCAGGACTTTGCATTTTATCCTTCAGGGATCACAGTATAAAGCTGGAAAATAAAACAAAACTAATGCACTAGTTGCAACGTTGTTCTCGGCCTGCCAATCAACAGTGTAACTACAAGATATTAATAGAAGAATTGATTGCTCAACATTTTTCCTTTCAAAACCTGTTAGCCAATTAGAACAAGCCAATTTCATGTAACAAGATAGGTAGGAAAATGAGTGGGAGATTCAGTCTTGAAGGTGAGCTAGCTGTATACTAATAGTTAACATCAACGAGTTATTTGCTTCTTCATCCAGTTTTCAAAATGTCTGAATTTTATGTTGTCAAGTTTCCTTATGAAGAAGACGTAAAATCTCGAGGACCGTTTATTGTATCAGAAGACAAAATATCTCATGAAAAAAGTCCTGACCATGAGAACGAAGTTTACGTAGTGTGGGAAGCCATAGACGCTAAGGGAGATATCATAGATTCATACTACTCTGGAGTGATCCTCTTCAAGGGCACAAAGAAAGCATGTGCTGAGTTCAAGGACAAACTAAGAAAAAACCGCGAAATAGTTGAAATAAGTAATAAGGAAAGTCGCTCAAGAAAGAAGAGTGCTAAACTTTTTGATTTGGATGATTCCGACTCAGTGCTATTTGCCCTTAACGACGGTTGGAATCTCAGTGGCCCGCCAAAAAAGAAACAGAAAATCAGTTCACTGTGCAAGTCTAAAGAAAAGGAAAAAAATATGGAACTGAATGGTAAGATCGTATGATTCATAATAATATTTGTTTCTGTAGTTATGTTTCAATATCTACCTTTTTTATTCTTACGGAAATAAATTATTTTTGGCAGTTAGGTAATTTGCGCGCCAAAAATTCATTCACTGACTGAAAGGAAAAATTTAACTAATTTCTTAAAGGAGTTTAGTGATTTGTACTTGACTTTGAATATAGTACCTGACTATAAAGCTGAGTACATTATAATACACGTACAACCATGCAATTTTCTCTTACTTTCTAGTAACTGTCAGCGGTCAGCGCATCATGATGGCGGTTTTTTCCCCGCTCTTCAAATTGAAACCTAAACTTGTTTAAATTTGCTATATCTGTTTCATCGTATACTTCTTTTTCATACTCAATCGTTACTTTATTTATTGTGTTCATGATGGATGAAAAATTAATCATCAATCTGATCGACAAGAAGCTAAAACCACTGTTTGAGAAAGTCGATTTAATTGAGCAATCCATGAAATTCTTAAGTGACAGTTATGAAGATCTGTTAACGAAAGTCAATCGGGGCGAGTCCGACAAAGATGATCTGGAAAAGGAAATTTTATCCCAGAAAGCTGAAATTACTCAATCTACAAACGAAATCTGCATGATGAAGGACATTCTAAATGATCATGAGCAGTATTCTAGAAGGGAATGYCTTGAGATACGAGGAGTACCAATGCATCGTGTCGAAGATACCAACAAGATTGTTAAAGACGTTGGCAAATTGATAGGAGTTGAAATCAAGGACACTGATCTCTCCATAAGCCATAGACTCGCGGCTCCGGATCCCAATTTCAAGCAACCTCCAGCAATAATTGTCAAGTTTGCTAGACGAGATGTACGCAATAATCTGTATGCTGCCAAAAAGAATCTCCATAACAAGTCATCTAGAGACATTGGCTACGTAAGGGACAGAAGCTTTTTATTTCAGAGACTTTGACACAGCAAAACAGGAAATTATTTAACAAATGTCTACAAGCAAAAAAACATTTGAAATTCAAGTTTCTTTGGACAACTTATGGCAAGATTCTTGCAAGGAAGGACGAATTGAATCCGTCTGTACACATCTCCAACRAGAAAGATTTAAAGAAATTCACTGAGCAGCTAAGGTCCAGCTAAAGTAGTAAAGATAAGTAGACTTATTGTTTACATACCAGTACGATAACTTGAACTTTCCTCAGTTGGATTTAATCTCCTCCTTGAACTCAAGAAATGAATTTCATAGTGTAGATCCTGATTCCAACATTCCTCTGTCATGTAATTTTAAATACTACACTACGGATGACTTTCAGAATAATAATATCATCCAGAACTGTACATCCTCCTCATATTTTTCTGCCTTGCATTCGAATATCAGAAGCCTAAATGCTAATTTTGAACAGTTAACACAAATGTTATCTGAATTGAAGCATAACTTCTCTATTACTGGCTTGACCGAAACTAAATTTAGCACATCTAAAGAACAAATTTGTAATACTTGCATTCCTGGTTATGAATTTATTTCTCAACCTAGTCTATCGAATGCTGGAGGCACTGGTTTTTTCGTCTCTGAAAAACTGAGCTTTAATACTAGAGATGACCTTTCTGAAGTTACTGCTGATTTTGAATCTCTCTGGATTGAAATTCATAGTAACTTGCACCATAACCTAGTGTGTGGTGTAATTTATAGACACCCACACAGTAACCTCGAGAGCTTCTTAAATTCTTTGACTAAATGTCTTGAAAAAATCAATAGAGAAAACAAATATTGTGTCTTGATGGGCGATTTTAATATCAACCTATTGAATGTTGACTCCCATTTAGCTACAGATGAATTTCTAGATACTCTTACACAATACTATTATAATCCACATATTTTACAACCTACCCGTATCACTAATCACTCGGCAACACTAATTGACAATATATTTTCGACTGAAATTCGACTGAACATCATACTATTAGTGGAAACGTAATCTATGAGCTTACCGACCACTTACCAAACTTCATTATTATTAACAAATTTAATTATCTCCCAAAAAAGCTAAAGCTCACTAAAAGAGACTACTCCAAATATGATGAACAAAGTCTTCTTTCTGACTTTAAATCAATTAGTTGGGAGTCGATTCTCCCTAATACTAATGACGTAAACCTCCTATTTGATGCTTTTTATACAAAAGTATCTAGTGTAGTTGACAAGCATATACCTACCAAGCAGCTTAGTAAGAATGATATCAGACATATTTCTAAACCATGGATTACCTGTGGTATTAAAACATCGATAAAGATAAAGAATAAGTGGTATCATAATTTTCTCAAAACAAAGTCAGAATATTATCATCATAAATACAAGCTGTACAGAAATAAAGTAAACCATTTGATAAGAATTAGCAAAACAGATTATTATAATAATTATTTTTCTACAAATAAAGCAAACATAAAGAATGTTTGGAAAGGTATTAAGCAAATAATCAGTCTTAAACCAATGGCTTGTGGACTACCTTCTAAGATACTTCATGATGATGTAGAGTTGGTTGACAGTAAGTCAATAGCTAATGCATTCAACAAGTTCTTTGCAAATATTGGCAATAACATGGCAGAATCAGTGCCATCTTCAAATACTTCTCCAGATTCACTAAGGCACACTAAGAGCTTCTACTTCTTCCCTACTTCTTMAAATGAGATTGAAGAAGAAATTAGCAAGCTAAATACTTCTAAAGCATCTGGACCATACAGTATTTCTACTAAAATACTAAAGCTATTGCAATGTATCATCTCAAAGCCTCTGGAAGTCATATTCAATTTTTCCTTCTCTACAGGTATAGTACCTTATCACTTCAAGCTCGCAAGAGTAATACCTGTGTATAAAAAAGGATCCCAACTTTGTGTTAACAACTATCGTCCTACCTCATTGCTATCAGTCTTTAACAGAATTCTAGAAAAATTGGTATTTAAAAGACTCTCAGGTTTCATTAATAAACACAACTTACTTTACTGTAAACAATTTGGTTTTAGATCTCGTCACTCAACAATACATGCAATTCTATCTATCACTGATAACATTCAAAGAGCATTTTAAAACTTTTATCTAGAATTAGTCATTTCACTAATCTTAGTATCTTGATTAATCTTTATTACACCTTGATCTACCCTTTTCTGACCTATGGACTTTTAGTATGGGGCAACACCTATCACTCCACTATCAACTCCATCTTCATCTTACAAAAAAAAACTCTGCGTATACTAACATTCTCTGGCTACAGGGACCACTCCAATCCTCTTTTCATTAAGCATAACATAATTAAGTTCCATGATCTTGTCTTTTATCACAATGCAATATTTGTTTATAATTTCAAAGCAGG